TCGCCCCTGGGCAGGTGGGGTCGAGCCTTACGTTTCTCTGAAAGACCCCACAACACATCTCTGCCCTGAGGGGCAGCTTCACCGCTGCTCGTTTCTGAACGGGACGGAGCCGTCAGGGAGGCAGCACGTTTTGCTTCAACAAAACCCACCTCGGAAGTCCCCGCGAGGCACGCACGTACTGCAAACCGCGTTAAATACAGCAGCAGGTTGGGGTAGTCGTCTCAGGGAGGCAGCACGTCTCTTTCAACAAAATCTACCTCCCCGAGAGGCGCACACGTAGTGCCTTACACTTGACCTGACATCAGACTTTAACAGATACGTACTGTTCCTGCTTTAAAAAGGACGCTTAAGAAGCAGCAGCCTGCGGCAGGGTGGTGGAAGCTTTTAAACTCCAAAGCAGAACGCCGCCTGCATTCTTGTCTAGGCAGCTGAAGTCCCAGGTGACCTATCTTCTACCGGCTGTCCCCTCCTGCTGCACTGAAACTCGGGTAGTTCTTCTGCTCCTTGTTCTCAGTGTTGCCCTTTGCGGCTGTAGGGGCCAGCCAGAGGCTCGCACATGAATTCACTCAGTGTCTGAACCTTGTGGCCACTACCATCAGCCTCGTTGCCAGTGCAGTACAGGCAGAGAACTGCAGAGAAAACTCAAGTAAAAATCCAGAGGCTCTTTTCTCAGCAAGGAGTTGCTCTATCAGGGTTAATTGCGGATTTTTCTCTTTGTCTAACAGTTCTTTTAAGTTAAGTACCTGGTCAAACTTCAGCTCAGCTGGACTGACTTAAAATTCTGACAAAATAAGCTTAATTGCTTCACATTTTGGACCATTTTAAAGTGGTACAAAACTGACCCTTTGTCAATGAAACTTCAGCTCAGCTGGACTGACTTAAAATTTACAATATTCTGACAAAATAAGCTCTAATTGCTTCACATTTTGAACTGTTTTAAACTGGTACAAAACAACCTTTGTCAACTGAGCAGCATTTATAATGCTTCCTATATGAAAACAGTGCATATTTTAAAGATTTATTATATACCTATGTAGATATGCTGGCTGGAAAAAACTAGGTCTGTTGTAGACCAAATGCTACAAACTAAGACTTGTGACTTACCTGTTCCATTTCTGTATTTTCTTGGAGAATGTTTCTAGCTGGAGCAGCATTTATAATGCTTCCTATATGAAAAAAATACTTATTTTTAAGATTTATTACATACCTATGTAGATATGCTGGCTGGAAAAAAATAGGTCTGTCATAGACCAAATGCTACAAACTAAGACTTGTGGCTTACCAGTTCCATTTCTATATTTTCTTGGAAAAGCTAGAGTTTAAATACAAAATGTAAATACTGTACAGACAGGGATTGATTTAAGTATTACTTGGTGTACACAAGTGATTTGCATGACATACTCTGTATCAATCATTGCTAAAAATGTGATGTTCAATGTACATCCACTGCAATAGTCATGTTTTCATTTATCAGGAAGACCTGTTGCTGCAATCTGGAGACTTCCTCAAAAATAAAGCATGAAACTCTACTGTTGCATAGCTCCTCATTTACCAAGAATACATGGGAGGCGCGTGCTGATTTACATTCCTAAGAGGTTAAGATTTGATTTTGCAACTGCTCTTGTAAGTATAAGGCCTCTTTGCCTACCTTTAGGCACACCAGTTTAAATTATCAGGTTTAATTTTTCAGAGATAAAAGCCTTCAGCTGCAAAATAGATTATTTTGGTAAAGCAGAACGCTCAGGGCTGTGTTGCTGTAAATGCTACTCCATTAAGAACTGGTTTCCCACCCTAAATTAAGGAGGGATTTTGTCAGTTGCCTTCCATGAGCTTCAGTCAAATACAAGGGAGGTGGAGAGGAGTCAGATCTCTGCTCCTGGAGTAGGTTAATTAGACCTCCCCAATTAGAAATAGCTCAGGCCACTGCAGTTGCCTGCTCTCATCTGGAGCTGTCACTAATGGCCCTCCCTGTTTTCTGCTCATGGGCTGGTTCAGGCAGTTGGTGCTTCCAGCACTCTTCACCGAGGTGCAGCAGTCAATGCTGAAGCTCCTTTTATACGCCTATGATGGGGTTATTCATCAAAGACAAGACACCAAATCTTGGAGCCAGAGGACAAAAGAGGAAGAAAAAGCCAGATACAGGAACGGTATGTGGTTTCTTTGTCATGTTACTTTATGTAACTTCACAGAACTGTTGCCATAGGAACATTATGCAGGGTACACTTATAGATTGGCTTTATGATGTTTCCATGTACTAAAATATTACTTTCAGTATTTACTAAAACATTAACCTTGCTCCTTTGGATTTTTTTTAGTGTCACACAGAGTAAAAAACTACTTTTGAGCTCCCAGCCTGCTGCAGGGTGGTAGAAACTTTTAAACTCCAAAGGAGAAAGCCTTCTGCATTCTTGTCTAGGCAGCTGAAGTCCCAAGTTA